ATATCGGCTTCTTCTGGAGTTCAGCTTCATACAAAATGAGAATTGTTCATGACGCGCAGAGCGCAGACTGGACATCTCCTTTAAGTCTCTGTTATTGTTTGTGTGTTTAGGTGAGTTGTATCGATCTCCGGCTCTCTGCGCCCCGGGTGTGATCCTCAGCATTGTGCACCTTCCATGGGGACTGACGGCAATGTGAATGTCACCTCAGGGATCTCCTCAGCTCTGTGCGGCCGGACCGCCGGGACCTTTTCCATCTGATAACGGTGAGAAGCCAAATCTTGTACATTTTTCATGACTTCAGTTTGTGCTGATTGTAGAAGATAATAAAGTGACACGAAACTCCGGAGATAAATCCTAAAAATCCCTCCGAGTCCCCGAACTCCGAGCAACAATGTATCTGATTTGTGTCACTCGGCTGGGGATCCCCCAATCATCTCTGACACTGACCTACCTGCTGGAGGGGGGCTACGTCTGTTCCCCATGATCCCTGTGTGTGATGTAGTCACCGCTCCAAGCTCGCTCCCGGGATGGACTACAATCTCAAAACAAATCAGTAAACTAAACATGGGATTGGGGGGGCGGAGCTTGGAGCGGTGACTACAACACACACAGGGGCCATGGGGAATAGACGTAGCCCCCCTCCAGAAGGAAGGACAGTGTCAGAGATGATTGGGGGATCTACAGCCGAGTGATACACAAATCAGATACATTGTTGCTCGGAGTTCGGGGACTCGGAGGGATTTTTAGGATTTATCTCCGGAGTTTGGGGTCACTTTAAGACACATATTCCAGATAAGTATTTCTGATGATTATTTTGGCAGCTAGTAACTATAACAGAGGAATAAAAGGACATAAAAAAGGGTTTCCTGCACCATACAAATGCACCGTCATCTTTTTTTTGTATAGCGTATGGATAGCTTGTTTAGATAAAATGCAGATGGGTTCTTTAGAGTGAGAAGGGAAGGGTTCTTGGATAGAGTAGGGAAGGATTCATTGTAAAGAGTAGGGAAGGGTTGTTTGGATATAGTAAGGAAGGAATCATTGGATGGAGTAGGGAAGGGTTCTTGTAATTGAGAAGGGAAGGGTTCTTGTAATTGAGAAGGGAATGGTTCTTTGGATGTAGTAAGGAATGGCTCTTTGGATGGAGTAGGGAAGGGTTCTTGTAATTGAGAAGGGAAGGGTTCTTGTAATTGAGAAGGGAATGGTTCTTTGGATGTAGTAAGGAATGGCTCTTTGGATGGAGTAGGGAAGGGTTCTTTGGATGGAGTAGGGAAGGGTTCTTTGGATGGCATAGGGAAGGGTTCTTTGGATGGCATAGGGAAGGGTTCTTTGGATGTAGTAAGGAATGGCTCTTTGGATGGAGTAGGGAAGGGTTCTTTGGATGGAGTAGGGAAGGGTTCTTTGGATGGCATAGGGAAGGGTTCTTTGGATGGCATAGGGAAGGGTTCTTTGGATGTAGTAAGGAATGGCTCTTTGGATGGAGTAGGGAAGGGTTCTTTGGATGGAGTAGGGAAGGGTTCTTTGGATGGCATAGGGAAGGGTTCTTTGGATGTAGTAAGGAATGGCTCTTTGGATGGAGTAGGGAAGGGTTCTTTGGATGGAGTAGGGAAGGATGGGGGGGGGGGGGGGCGGGGTTCTGTAGTTAGAGTAGGGAAGGGTTCTTTGGTTAGAATAGAGAAGGGTTCTTTGGAGAGAGTATGGAAGGGTTAGAACCTCAGTTATGTTTGATGTGCTCATTGTGCCTCACTGTGAAGATTTTCCCTCACTTCCTGTCCGAGTGACAATGCTCCCATGTTATCTGGAGAGGAAAGAGTGAGGCTTCAGACAGCAATAAATAGGGATGGGGTCTGGGTTCGGCCCAATGAAGGGTTCAATCCGAACTTTGTATATCTGGAGTTCACAAACCGGCCAGACCATGAGGGCGATTCACCAGCTGGGACCTCAGGCAGCAAATGGAGGGAAATTATTTATTATTGGAGATATTACTGCTGCCATCAAATGATTTCTCCGTGTCACAACTGCCTGCTCCCATCTCACAGACCTCCACATCCAATAGGAGACCAGATATGGGGAAGAGGCCCTTGTCCTTATTAACATGGGGACAAGGTGCTTTGCCAGGGGGGTCCCACCTGATACGGCACCCCTCCATGATGAGGACATGTGGTCTGATATGGTTTGGGAGAACTGCTTGTTTGCCTCCCCCTTTCCTGGCCGGCCAGGCCGCATGCTTAGATAAGGGTCTTGTATGGATTTTGGGAGGGGCCTCACACTGTTTTTTAATGGCATAAAACGACAGCCACTGATTTTATGAACATACAATAAAGGAGATATTGGAGGACTTTGTGTGCCCGAAATATTTCCATCATGTTTGTCTCATCACTAGTAATAAAAACTTGAAAGAGGTTCTAACCCGTCACCACTCTCTCCAAAGATCCCTTCTTTACCCTGTGCAAAAATCGTTTCCTTACACTATCCAAACAACATTTACCTACTCCTTACCAAGAACCCTTCCCTACAGTATGCAAAGAACTCTCCCCTAGTCTAGGCTAGAACACTACCTCACTCTATCCAATGAGCTCTTCCCTACTCTATCCAATGAGCTCTTCCCCACTCTACCCAATGAGCTCTTCCCCACTCTGTCCAATGAGCTCTTCCCTACTCTACCCAATGAGCTCTTCCCTACTCTATCCAATGAGCTCTTCCCTATTCTACCCAATGAGCTCTTTTCTATTCTACCAAAATGCTCTACCCTACTCTACCCAATGAGCTCTTCCCTACTCTACCCAATGAGCTCTTCCTTACTCTACCCAATGAGCTCTTCCCTACTCTACCCAATGAGATATTCCCTACTCTATCCAATGAGCTCTTGCCTATTCTACCCAAAGAGCTCTTTTCTATTCTACCAAAATGCTCTACCCTACTCTACCCAATGAGCTCTTCCCTACTCTACCCAATGAGCTCTTCCCTACTCTACACAATGAGCTCTTCTCTACTCCACCCAATGAACTCTTCTCTACTTTATCCAATGAGTTTTTCCCTACTCTATCCAATGAGCTCTTCTCTACTCCACCCAATGAACTCTTCTCTACTCTATCCAATTAGTTTTTCCCTACTCTATCCAATGAGCTCTTCCCTACTCTACCTAATAAGCTCTTCCCTACTCTATCCAATGAGCTCTTCCCTACTCTACCCAATGATCTCTTTTCTGCTGTATCCAAAGAACCATTTCCTACTTATAGAAAGAAACATCTTATTTATATATATTTATTTTCTTTAGAAAAAGGACTCCAGTTGAAGGTCTCCAGTGATGCCAATATGAACGTTCCATGATTATAACATGGAAGGGTTGACCCAAAACCAGACATTTATTACCTACACAGATTTTGTCCTTTTTGGTTTTCCTGGAATCATAAAATACAGAAGACTGTTAACAATCCCATTTCTTCTATTATATCTCATTATTCTGTCTGGAAACATCCTCATCATTCACCGGATTTTTGTTGAACCGAGCCTCAGCTCGCCCATGTACTTCCTCATGTCCCTCCTCTTCACTGTCAATCTTTCCTCCACAACTGCCATCCTGCCAAAATTCCTCCTCGATCTATCTTTTGATATAAACCAGATCACATTCTCTGGTTGCCTCAGTCAGATGTTCTACATATACTTCATGGCTATTTTTGAGTCTGGTGTTATCCTCTCAATGGCCCTGGACAGGTTCATCGCTATCTGTAGACCTTTACAATACAACAACATCATGACCCCACGTTTGCTGCTTCAGTTGGCTTTCATTGGGGTGGCACGGAGTGCTCTCTTTGTTTCTCCGATGGTCATACTGACTTCTAGAGTCCACTTCTGTAAATCCAACATCATCCTGAATTTTGTCTGTGAGAATATGGGGATTTTGAGCCTTGCCTGCGGAGATATCTCCAAACAGCAAGCTGTCGGTCTCATGGTTAGGATCTTGGTCACTGTCATTGATGTCAGTCTTCTCCTACTGTCCTACTCCAGCATTATCTACACGGCCATGAAGATTGCTGTTGGGAAAGCCCGTCACAAAGCCTTACACACCTGCGGAGCACATCTGACTGTGGCCACCATGATTTACGTGTCCGCACTGTTGTCATCAATTGTGTACCGCATGCAAACTCATATCTCCTATGACATTCAGAACCTGTTCAATGCGATCTATCTCATGCTACCGGCTTCCCTAAATCCCTTCATCTATGGGCTGGGGGTGAAAGAGATCAGAAGGTGCTTCAGCAGGTCCAGAAATAAAAAGAATACGATGATCTCATCCTCGATGCGCATTCAGGTCAACGAGAAATTTGTTTTACGATTTTCAGCTGAAAAGTAGGAAGAGAACGGAAACCTTCGGGAACCATCACACATAGAAATGGGATCACCAGAGCCACAGAGATGGACTCAATTTGTCCAGGTTCCTAATTGTAATCACAGATGATCCAATCAAATAATTTTGTCTCAATGTAGAAAAAATGGGATTAAAAAAAAATGTGACTGAAAGACATCTTCATCACCAATCAGATAAATATCCTTTTCAGGGGAGTTTGCTCAAGTGTTAAGATTTACAACAGAGGTCAACTTAGATGCGACCCCCAATCACTAAAATCTCATGTGATCTTTAACATGTAAATGTAATTTCTAAAATCATTTTTATATTTTGGGGTGTTGGGCATACTGCACACACCTAAAAGAACTTCATGGAGGTACACAAGGCATCCCTCTGCACCACTGCCGCTCCCCTCCAAACATTTGCCAGTAAATCCCTACTGTCATAATGAAAGCCGGCAGCTGCTGCGTAAAAACAGAGTTGTCATAAAAGAACCAACTGATCCCATGTCTGTGAAGGTTCATTCATCCAGGTCACATGGTATATCTGTTACAAATAAGTCAAGGCAACTGGACTTGCTGTATATTTATTGAAGATGTTTCACTGGTCATCTGAACAGCTTTCTCAATTCAGAATGACCTGTAGAAAAAAATTATCTGGGAATAAATATGGTGAATGTCGCTCCAATCCACATAATAAGAAATAAGAAAAAATCTTGCACCATGGCCCTGTGTTCCTTAGGTCCGCCACTGGAGAGATACAAAGTAACATTGTTTATACACATTGATCAGAGGGAGATAGAGGGATACAAAGTAACATTGTATATAAACATTGATCAGAGGGAGATAGAGGGATACAAAGTAACATTGTATATAAACATTGATCAGAGGGAGATAGAGGGATACAAAGTAACATTGTATATAAACATTGATCAGAGGGAGATAGAGGGATACAAAGTAACATTGTATATAAACATTGATCAGAGGGAGATAGAGGGATACAAAGTAACATTGTATATAAACATTGATCAGAGGGAGATAGAGGGATACAAAGTAACATTGTATATAAACATTGATCAGAGGGAGATAGAGGGATACAAAGTAACATTGTATATAAACATTGATCAGAGGGAGATAGAGGGATACAAAGTAACATTGTATATAAACATTGATCAGAGGGAGATAGAGGGATACAAAGTAACATTGTATATAAACATTGATCAGAGGGAGATAGAGGGATACAAAGTAACATTGTATATAAACATTGATCAGAGGGAGATAGAGGGATACAAAGTAACATTGTATATAAACATTGATCAGAGGGAGATAGAGGGATACAAAGTAACATTGTATATAAACATTGATCAGAGGGAGATAGAGGGATACAAAGTAACATTGTATATAAACATTGATCAGAGGGAGATAGAGGGATACAAAGTAACATTGTATATAAACATTGATCAGAGGGAGATAGAGGGATACAAAGTAACATTGTATATAAACATTGATCAGAGGGAGATAGAGGGATACAAAGTAACATTGTATATAAACATTGATCAGAGGGAGATAGAGGGATACAAAGTAACATTGTATATAAACATTGATCAGAGGGAGATAGAGGGATACAAAGTAACATTGTATATAAACATTGATCAGAGGGAGATAGAGGGATACAAAGTAACATTGTATATAAACATTGATCAGAGGGAGATAGAGGGATACAAAGTAACATTGTATATAAACATTGATCAGAGGGAGATAGAGGGATACAAAGTAACATTGTATATAAACATTGATCAGAGGGAGATAGAGGGATACAAAGTAACATTGTATATAAACATTGATCAGAGGGAGATAGAGGGATACAAAGTAACATTGTATATAAACATTGATCAGAGGGAGATAGAGGGATACAAAGTAACATTGTATATAAACATTGATCAGAGGGAGATAGAGGGATACAAAGTAACATTGTATATAAACATTGATCAGAGGGAGATAGAGGGATACAAAGTAACATTGTATATAAACATTGATCAGAGGGAGATAGAGGGATACAAAGTAACATTGTATATAAACATTGATCAGAGGGAGATAGAGGGATACAAAGTAACATTGTATATAAACATTGATCAGAGGGAGATAGAGGGATACAAAGTAACATTGTATATAAACATTGATCAGAGGGAGATAGAGGGATACAAAGTAACATTGTATATAAACATTGATCAGAGGGAGATAGAGGGATACAAAGTAACATTGTATATAAACATTGATCAGAGGGAGATAGAGGGATACAAAGTAACATTGTATATAAACATTGATCAGAGGGAGATAGAGGGATACAAAGTAACATTGTATATAAACATTGATCAGAGGGAGATAGAGGGATACAAAGTAACATTGTATATAAACATTGATCAGAGGGAGATAGAGGGATACAAAGTAACATTGTATATAAACATTGATCAGAGGGAGATAGAGGGATACAAAGTAACATTGTATATAAACATTGATCAGAGGGAGATAGAGGGATACAAAGTAACATTGTATATAAACATTGATCAGAGGGAGATAGAGGGATACAAAGTAACATTGTATATAAACATTGATCAGAGGGAGATAGAGGGATACAAAGTAACATTGTATATAAACATTGATCAGAGGGAGATAGAGGGATACAAAGTAACATTGTATATAAACATTGATCAGAGGGAGATAGAGGGATACAAAGTAACATTGTATATAAACATTGATCAGAGGGAGATAGAGGGATACAAAGTAACATTGTATATAAACATTGATCAGAGGGAGATAGAGGGATACAAAGTAACATTGTATATAAACATTGATCAGAGGGAGATAGAGGGATACAAAGTAACATTGTATATAAACATTGATCAGAGGGAGATAGAGGGATACAAAGTAACATTGTATATAAACATTGATCAGAGGGAGATAGAGGGATACAAAGTAACATTGTATATAAACATTGATCAGAGGGAGATAGAGGGATACAAAGTAACATTGTATATAAACATTGATCAGAGGGAGATAGAGGGATACAAAGTAACATTGTATATAAACATTGATCAGAGGGAGATAGAGGGATACAAAGTAACATTGTATATAAACATTGATCAGAGGGAGATAGAGGGATACAAAGTAACATTGTATATAAACATTGATCAGAGGGAGATAGAGGGATACAAAGTAACATTGTATATAAACATTGATCAGAGGGAGATAGAGGGATACAAAGTAACATTGTATATAAACATTGATCAGAGGGAGATAGAGGGATACAAAGTAACATTGTATATAAACATTGATCAGAGGGAGATAGAGGGATACAAAGTAACATTGTATATAAACATTGATCAGAGGGAGATAGAGGGATACAAAGTAACATTGTATATAAACATTGATCAGAGGGAGATAGAGGGATACAAAGTAACATTGTATATAAACATTGATCAGAGGGAGATAGAGGGATACAAAGTAACATTGTATATAAACATTGATCAGAGGGAGATAGAGGGATACAAAGTAACATTGTATATAAACATTGATCAGAGGGAGATAGAGGGATACAAAGTAACATTGTATATAAACATTGATCAGAGGGAGATAGAGGGATACAAAGTAACATTGTATATAAACATTGATCAGAGGGAGATAGAGGGATACAAAGTAACATTGTATATAAACATTGATCAGAGGGAGATAGAGAGATACAAAGTAACATTGTATACAAACATTGATCAGAGGGAGATAGAGACCCATCTGTCATTGCAGTTGTAGTCTATAATAATAATAATAATAAATAATCTGTTAAATGGAAATTGTGTTTTTTTCAAATTGTTTAGGGTTATAATCATTTTTTTGTTCTGTGGATATTAAACACGGTAATAAATAGAATGTTTGTATATTTCTAATAAAATGTATAAATGATTTGGGTTGGAGGATTGGTCGTGGTAATGATGTCATACTGACACTGCTAACTTTGAACCTGAACACTCATAAGAGAGCCATGAAAGGGATGAAGCACCTCCCCCGATATTCAAATCCAGATACAAATTTATTCCAAAAGTTTCTTTACAAAACCAAAAAAGCATTAAGGGCCGCCGTGCCGGATTTACTCTCCCTGCTGCCCCAAGGCCAGGATCTGCAATACGCTACACTACGCTGACAGCAACACACTACATAAGGCTGGGGGGCGGGTGTCATGTGCCACTCTGAGCCTTTTCCCTGGGTGACAGAATGTCCAGCTTCCCCACTGCTTGAAACACAAAGGGGAAGGGACGCAGCACATCTTCTAGTAGACAGTCCCTGCATGGAACCCCGGATTTCCCATTCTCTGCACATATCGGGGGGACGTGGTATCCATCACAGCAGAGGTCCCCGTATTCCTCAGTACCAGGTCATGACTTCAGCATCAGAGCCGTGGAGGTTCAGGTGTTACCCCATTGTCCCAGCGATATCTCTGCAGCTACTGGATCAGCTCAAGTAAGTCAATAGACGCGTGGAGGTTCCTGTGTTGCTCCGGTGACCCCTGTGATATCCTTGGTCACATCAGCAGGGGGAAGGTCCATCTGTAAGCATTCAGAATCACACGGTTTTCCCAGAAGGCCGAGACCCTGAGGCCTGAGCTCCTGATCTGAACCTCAGACCCAGCTGACAACCTATACGCAAAGACCGTTCCAGGCTCCACCCACCAACAACAAGCTCATGAATGATTGGACCAACCAATGTTTCATTTCTGACTCAGCCATCTGGATCCTTCATAAGAGTCTGACAGATAACTGATCATAGGAAGCCACTGTGCAAAGCCTACTGAAGAAACCTGAGAAATACACTATATTGCCAAAAGTGTTGGGCCCCTCCCCCTCCAAATCATGTGATTCAGGTGTTCTGTGACATTTCCCGGCTACTAAACATTCCGCCGCGGTCGCCTGTTACTGGGATTATAACAAAGTGGAAGCAACTGGGAACAACAGCAACTCA